GGGACACAGCTGCCAGTTTCTCCTGTGGTGCTGAGGGGRCACACTCTGAGTTTTCCACTTCTGTTGACAATGAAACTTGTCACTTTTGTGCCCCAAAACTAAACCTAGCAGGGCTGAACAGGTGAAGCATCCTGACAGCCACCCTGCTGCAAAGCTGGCACGAAGGCAGCTTGGGGGCAGGGGGCAGTGGAGAAGTTTCTTCCTCCCTCCCCTTAAAGTAATTCCTAATTCTATTTTTTTTTTTTTTTTTGCAAATTCTGGTGTTTCTAGAGATAAGAAGCTAAAACCTTACAAAAGAAACAGCAGGAAAACAAACTCTGGCCCTGTGAGTGGGGCTGTTTGCTGACAGTGGGTTTGGAGTTTTTGTAGTGCCAGATGACAACAGTGCAAGTGGTAGAAATGGAGAGGCTCAAAAGAAGTTCTTTTTTCTTTTACACTGAGTCTATATACTATGCCTAGAGACACTTACAAGTGATTTCTGTACAATATTGCTTTTACAGTTCTTCTATGTCACAAAATCCTCTAGACCTTCAAGAAATCTCTTTTAAAATTTATAGAAAATCTTGCCTCGAAGGACCTTAAGAGATGGTCTTTAATTTGTCGTGGCTTCTCTTCTCTGCCTGGTTTTCCTCTTTTGTCTCAGTTTTAACAAAAAGCTTTTCTCCTTCCTCACTTTAACAAGTGTCACCTATGTTACAGCCACAGGCTGAGGTTTCACTTGCCTTTTAGGGCCTGTGAATGATGGCATTTACCCTCTTTAACCCCAAAAACCACCTTCCCTAGCACACACACCCCCCTCTGCTAAAGCCCAAGCTCCATTGTGGAGCAGCAAGTTCCATAAATCCTTTCTGCATGGGATTTAAATTGGGAGTAAAACAAAGCCAAATCAGCTCTTTTGCTCCCCAGTTTTGTCATCTCTGTGTCGAACACAAGAGTGAATAAAGTCAGAGAGTGAATGTTGGTGCAGTGGAATATTGTGCATGGATTAATTTCCTGCTCTGTGCAACAGAAAGGCAGAAATGCCCTCCCCAAAATCCCATTTTCATTCATGAGATTGCACCCACTGAAAGYCCAAAACTAGGAATGGAATTATAGCGAGGCTGAGGTGAACACGAATCATTTACCACAACCAATGCCATCATTTCTCCTGTATTTTTACTTCTCTCCTTTTGCTACAGAACCTTCTGCTACACTGTGGAACTAGTGGGTTACCTGAGCATTATCAGTCCCTCTTATTTCAGGGTACTGGGTAGAAATGTTAAACACATTTCATCCCAGTATTAACCAAATAAAAGAAAATAAATCCTGGTCCTTTTTGCCTTCCAATGTTCGGCATTACCTGAAAAGTGCCATTTGATAACTACTATTCTTCATCTCTCCTGGTGTGTTTCTTTCTTATTTTCTCTTTTTTATGATCATCCTTGCCAAGAAGCACACACAAATTATTTTTTTAGAGGTGTCCCGGAGGGTTCTGACTGTGGCAGAGGCAGCTGTGTGTGGTTCATGGGGCAGTGTGAAGGAAGGATTTTCCACAGTGCCCTTGGAAGGATGAATTTTCCCTGTGTGTTTTGTGTCTGGACTGACTCAGAAAGCTCAAGGGGACGAGATCACCGTGCAAAGGGACAGAAAAGTCACACTCAAATTGCTTTTCTGCTCCCCCCAGCTCATGCAGGCTTCAGGGAGGAGTTGGGAATTTCTTCTCTTGTTTCTGGTGCCACTCAGCTGAGGTGGTTGGTGAGTTGGAGAGTAGCAATTTGTAAATACCTTTAAATAGTGTGTTTTAACATGGCCAACACCATATCCTGACTGTGTAAAAAAAATAAATACATTCTGTGTAATATTATCCAGATAAGGCTACAGTGTAAATATATCTACAATGAATGTCAAATTACTCTTCAAGCTCTCTGTACCAGGAAGAACCTCATCTCTCCTTGAGATCTTTTTTTTTTTAACTTAAGGCTATGAAAAACTTGTTATTCATTTATATCTTAAAAAAAAAAAAATCAACCTGCATTCTTTTCTTCAAAGGAAAAATACTACTGCAAGAAAGAAGGGAATGCATTACATGTATGTGATATCCAAAATCATGTGATGAAACCAGGAACTGAGGACCTTACAAGT